GAACACAGCAAACACAGAGGAGCAATGAGTTATACTGCTGACAGTAAAACAAAAAAAAGCACATAACTGGTAAAAATCTCCATGTACACATGATCATCAGTTAGTAGATGTGAAACTCCTTTAACGGCATCATTTATATCAATATTTGGCGAGTCTGCAGCTGCTGATATTTTTCTATCTAATAATAGGCTTCGCAACATCAGATAATATGAAGATTTTACTTTCTGAAATCAATTAAGCCATTTTTCTCCTCAGTCTGCACACATTGATAACATATGGTGCACAATCTAAAAAATAAATAAAATTGCTAATAAACTGAACAAACATTAACAACGAAAAAGAAATGGAGAAGGCGACTGCAAGCACTTCTCTAATTCACAAGGCACGATTACTGAACCGGCTGATGCATCCATGCATTTTATTTTTAAATGTGCATTGTATCTCTGCTTCTGTCTCCTTGAACCCCAGTCGGCCTCGGCAGATGGCCGTTCACACTGAGCCTGATTCTGCTGGACGTTTCTTCCTGTTAAAAGGGAGTTTTTCCTCTCCAGTCGTTACAGGCACGCTTAGTGTGAGGGATTGCATCCGAGTCAATGAGTCAATGCAATCAACTGGTTTTCCTTAGATAGAAAACTTTGAATCAATTTGACTGTATGATCTGGTGAACTGTAACGTGCCATGAGATTGTGAATTGGCACTGTAGAAATAAACTGAATTGAATTGAATTAAATATTATCCCAACATATAGGCTGGCAAATGTATAGGCATCCCTAATCATTACACACCATCAATGCCTGTGTGTGCAATACTGAAATCACCCAGGATTTATTTAATGCAATTTTCATGGATGAATACAGGGTTTGCACACCAGTTAAACAATTTTCTAGAATATATATTTCTAGATGTTCCAACAGCATTCAGGCTTTATATGTAAAAGCTGGGGGGAAAAGTCATCTTCTAACACACTGCTAGTTTAGATACCATCTTTAAACCTAAAACACCTGATCTTGGTATCATCTAAAAGGTCTGTTTCAAAGTTATACTAACAGACCTAATGAGAGGGATGATGCTTACCTTCCTCTGGCTATCTGAGCCAAACCTGCACAGTCACTCTGAACAGACCTCTCCTTTTTATGCAGAGCCTCTGACAATCCTCCAGCTCCTTTGATCAACTGATAGAGTTACATTCCCTGATCACTTGTCACCAGTCACTGAGATCTGCAACCTGTTCAACTAGTTTCAACCGAGAGGAATTCGGGAGACTTTCCGGCAGATCTGCCTTTGCAAACTTTCCAGCAATGGTTCCGATGGAGCCTATTCATACCGAACCAACAGGGATGAACAAACGTCTGGAAACAGAACTTAGCTAGCTAACCTAAACTGTCTGGGAGTCAGCCGAGGAAGCATCACCCATCAAACACCATTTTCCTAAACATTTCCAGGAATAAAAGTAGCGACACAAGCAAATATACCAGTATTATATATTACTATAACTATAAATAAAGGCTTAAAGTCGGCGTACTGGTTCTTTAGAGGGCTAGCAGCAAAGTTACACTCATGCTTAGACCAGCAGTTTTGCTTGCGTACCTTTCTCTCCAACGGTCAAAGTAGAGGAAACACCAACTTTTAGAGCTTCGGAGCCTTAAAAATGATCCCCCGACACGTCTGGGCGCTTTCTCGGACACGCTGTGAAGTTTACCGTTCACGGAGAGCCGCTGCTACAGGGGGAATGTGGAGTTTTTGTCCACGCTAGTAAACTCCGGGAACCTGTTGCTGACAGCTCTGAGTGTCACACCAACAACATGGCTGACGCTCTGCTCACCGGAGGCTGCGGGGCCCTCAGTTAACGAGCGACCGTCCTGAGTGGGAGGAGAGACGGAGAGGAAGACAGGGAGGGAGGGCACCGGCTGGAGCCAGAGGGGATGAACAAACTCACATACAGATTAATCAATAAAAAAAATTTTAGGGATAAAAATAAAAGTCTGGAAAACTATAATTAATGCGATTAAATAATTAAATGAATAAAGTTTAAGTCGATAAACCACAAACTTATTTATAAAGATATTTATCAATGTCATCGTTAAAGTAATAAATAAAAAAAAAAATATGTCAATAACACCTGTGATTATTTCCCCTTTTTGTCACATATTTTGACTAATATAGACTACACCTTTGTAAAAATAAATAGAATTTCCCTAATACCCCCCCCCCCCCCCCCCATTTCTACTGCAAATCAGTGATTTGAATGTTATGTACTTTGCAGTATTCAGAGGTGTAGCCAAATTATTTTTATAAGGGTGGCCAGGCAATAAGCAACTTACTGGGGGTGGGGGGGGGGGGGGGGGGGGTGGGATGATAGGCACCAGAACCTCAGGGTCAATCTACACTGTTGCAACAGGAACATTAGCGAGCACAACATCAACATTTTCTATATAAAGACAAACTATACTTTCCTACAGCCTTTGCTAACAAATAGACGCATATATGTACACATTTCTGGATAAAAGGCATAGTGGGTACAATTCTTTCAGGTTTGAGTTTTGGGCGAACATCTCTTCCTTTGTCGTTACTTACCTACTTTTATCAACAATTATTCTGCATAAAACTGATATTTACAAGTACTAATATATACACAAATTAATTATTACGTTTTTATTAAAATAGTTATTTATCTATGCTTTCGCTGAAGACTCCTTAAAAAAAGGGTTATCTCTAAAACATCTGTTGTGTAACAAACGCCTGATGAAAACAGAAAACAAGGCTCAACAGATACCAGATTGACAATGAGTAAGTGCAGAAATAGACATCATGTTAGCTAATCTTAACTGAAAATCAATACAGTGTGATGCAAAACAACTATGAATATGTTAATTTATTGCAGAAAAGTAAAAAAAAAAAATCAATCAGAAATTAATAGATTACATTTTAAATGTACAATAAGCAAAAATTTTAATAATCTATTTTACATTTCATTAGTGCTTTGCTGGCAAAGCTGGCTCTAATCGGGCTTCAATTGTGCTCAGGTACAATCTAGGACCAACCCTTTTTGATAGCTTTTGTCTAATCAAGACTTTATGTGAGAAACGTTTATAAACTGTGGAATTGTTTTTACTCAAGGCTAGTTCATACCTGTCAAGTTTTGGATTTGAAAATAAGGGACATTTTATGAATTCTGTTGTGATCCATCCAACTATTTTCAAACAAGCATTATTTATTAGTTTGGAATAAAATACACATCTCGCAAATGTTTTGACTATAACAAATATTGAGGAATTGATAATAAATTGCTGTTCCTTAATCTGTAAAGCTCCCTGCATGAATTATAATGAAGCTATTTATATGCATAAATCAAGCAGAACACTATGGCGATAGCCATACTGCTACACTTGTGAAAGTAAAATCTGTTGGGCTCTTTTTGGCATCAAGACTATTATTCTTATTGCCACATTGCCAGACAGGACACTGTTAAAAAAAAATAAAAAATGCTGTTCCTACACTTCCACCTAGTATTAGACCAACCTGTTGCCTTTCCTTGATTATTTATCACTCTTTGCTTTTTTTCTCTCCATCCCTGTACCTAAAGAACATGGGACCTTTACTTGGCCTTTTTTAAATATAGCAGTCTTGATACATTCTGGTCAGTATGAGAACGATGGCATACATTATGAAATGCAGTATTGCACCACTTTGAAATGATTTACACATTTCAGATACATTCCTAGGTTTAGGCCTACATGTTTTAAGTTCCACATACCATAGCCATACCGAAAACAAAAGCAAATGAAACCTGAAACGTGTATGGTTTCAAAACTAAATCAACAAAACCGCACATGAAATTTTAATTCAAATTATAACAGATGCATCACCAAAGTGCAGTAGTGTCATATCAGAGTTAAAGTGAGCGCATTTCGATTTCTAAAAAGAAGAGGACACTTGCCTCACCATGACACTGTGTACCTACACTATACTCAAAGTTTACTGAGATACCTTATAGTTTTTAGATATGTAATCAAAGCCTCCTCTGTACCATTATAAAATAAAGTTAAAGAACAAAATAAAGTCTTCAGACTATAGACTTCTTAATAATAATTTATTAAACAGTGTTTATTGCACGTAAGATAACATTTATGCAAATGTAAATGGCTCAGAAGTATAATTAAGAAATAAAATAAGATTCTGGAATTAACCCTCTGGTGCATAGTAGTCACTGTAGTGGACAGCTACTACAAAGTTAATATCTCTTTAATTCTATGGTTTCTATAGTGAAACCTTACCGCCCAGCAAACACATATAGGCTCCCCATTGTAAGACCCTTCCTAAGTACACTTCAGGAGACATTCAAGGCAGCAGCAGATCCTGAGGAATTGCAGTCACTTCAGTAAGCTATGAGTGTCATTGGTTTCCTTATTCGGTTCTTAACATTGTGCCTTTATAATGTAAAAAATTAAACAAAACATGTTGAAATATTTTTCAAAGCATAAAATGAATCAATGGTCTGCATTTTTTACAACAGAATACTAGATCATTATTTTTTTTTAATAAATTCATAATATTTTATATTGAGTTCTCATGTGCGCATAGTCCACTCCAGTGGACATATCTGTAACTTCATGAAACAACAATATTTTTGGAAAAAAAAAGTTAAACATTTTTTTTAATGTCCTAAGAATAAGAAAAAACCTTGAGAAAAAAATCTTGATCAAGGCTTTCATAATTCATGCATCAGAGGGTTAAATAATTTGGCGCCCTCTCTGATATAGCAGCGCCCATATGTGCCCCTTTGCTCCACAGATTCTTATAATATAATAATGCGGGAAATTTACTGGAAACTGCATATATGAGACAGCGGCGTGAAAGAGGGGTAAAATACCATAGTTTCCAGTTCAAAACGGGAGAACTGACCGCTATATATAAAGTTTACTCTTATTTACTACAATATCCGTTTGTTTACTACGTTATCCATCGTGCATTGCGGCTGCTTTGCGACATTTTACAGCAAA